CGCCTGCCCGACCGGTTGCAGAGATCCAGTTTCGCACCATCCCCTCACCCCTGTTTGCAGCATGCTCTCTTCTGGCACGAGGGCGGCCGTGGGCTGAATCCTCAGCCGCTTACTCACCTGCCGCTCCTAGCGCGCTTGTGAGAGCTGTCGCTCTGGGCATCCCTTAGGGGAGAGCAGCCCCGCTCCCTGCCTCAGTTTCCCCACCAGCATTCCCCTTCCTCTCCCAGCAGTCCAGCCCCAGCGCATGAACCCATGGCAGGCTGCTCTTTAGCACCAGCCCCGGGATGTAGGTGCTTTTTGCTGAACCCAGTGCACAGAGGCATTGCTGCCCGGTGCCTGCAGTGCCCCAGGCTCCACTGACTTATCTCATTGATGAAGATGATGCAGGGCCAGTGAGAAGACAGCGGCTCTGAGTTTCTTTCATGCACTTGTTACGAGTGATAGGTTTATGAATCGGCAGCCTGATGCTCGGGTGGTCTCCTTGGCTTGCAGAGCGTTCCCACAGCCCAGCAGGCCCTAAAACAGGACCCTGCGGAGGGAAGGGTGCAGCTCGGCATCGGGCACGGATGCTCCTGGGAGCAGTGGACCCTCTGCAGCATGTCCACTTCTGGGTGGCTGGAAGAGGGGTTTCTTTGGGAAAGGGAGCACAACCATGTCCCGTGTCCAGGGGAGCCAGGACTGGCCACCCCCACATGCGTTATGGCTGGGCTCAGTGCTAGGGCCAGGGCTTGCACCATGGCTTTGCTCTAGCCTCGTTGAGAGGTCTGCCTGTATTTCAGCTTATTCCCTAGGAATAGCTCGGGGTCTGGGTACTGCCGAGGGGAGGAAGAGCTTAAGGGCAGAAAGGCAAAAAACTTGGGTCTTCTTCTGCTTTGCATGTTAAATGGGAGTGAAGGGAAAAGACCTCCTTGTCTCGCGTCTTTTTAATTTCACTCCTGCACATCCACCTTGACTAAAACCAGGGGGAGGGAGAGGACAATCCATCATCATGTAGTTAATGAGAAATGTGCCAGGCCCCGTTTTCTAGTGTAATGATGTAACACTGAAATCTCTGAACAAGCTTTGCAAATGTGCATTAATATAGTGCCATCTCATTATATAGCCATTCCTGAGCAAAACCAGCCAGCCGGGGCAGCCCCAGGCGGCCCCTGCCGTGCTTACAAGCCCCCCTGCTCCCAGCCTCCGCAGGCCTGGGATGGCTGGGGAGCAGGCAGGGAAGGCCAGGCAGGGAAACGCTTGCCCTTGCAGAGCAAGGCTGAGGCCAAGCAGGCTGGGCTGGGGAGGACCATGACCCCCGAGAGGCCTGGCGAGTGGGGCTGCAGCTCCCTACTTGAGCTGCTGCGGTTGCCCCTCTGCAGTTGCCCCTCTGTGGTTGCTCCTCTGCAGCTGCCCTTTTGCACTTGCCCCTCCGCGGTTGCCCCTCCGCAGTTGCCCCTCCGCACTTGCCCCTCCGCGGTTGCCCCTCCGCGGTTGCCCCTCCGCA